AACAACTCAAACTCCTTCAGGGTATACCACTGACCCAAATAGGGAAGCCCCTGCCCAGCAGGCTGGAGAGAGTAATTGCTGTTGTTCACCACACCCTCTGCGAGAGTAACCAACCATAAACATCAGAGCCTACAGATATCATTTGCTGATAAGCAGCCAGTTTGACTCCTCTCTGCCAGTTCCCTCTTCAGTCCTGTCCTGCGTTTACCTGCTCTCACCCTCCTGGACTCAAACCCTTGCCCTCAAGCCCCAACCTCCTCTCTCACCTCTGACTCCTCTCACACTTGTTCTTTCCCCACCTTTCTTTGTATTTGGACTGTCCACCACTCTCCCACTCTTCCTGCTGAGGCTGTTCTCCCATTCTTAACATCTGATATTTTCTTAGTTGAAGACCTCAACCCCTGTCCAGGGTCAGTGCCTCCCCTCATCAGGGCAGGACAACTCCCAGGACCTGAGGGAGTGTGTCCTCATGCATGTGCACGTGCTGGGATTGTTTTAGGTCACCGGCAGGCAGCCGCTGATGGGCTGCAGGATGGCAGGCCCAAAGGGAAGATCTGGATGAGAACACAGGAGCTGGGAGCTAGGGACCCAGGCACTACACCTGGCGCAAGTCATTACCTGAGGCAAAAGCAGAGGGAACCTCATCTGTCTCGTGGCTGGATCAGAATGGGTCCAAAGTCTGGCCAGAACTGAGGAGTATGCCTCGCCTGCACTTGGGGATGAAGCATGGGGGTTGGAAGGCTGGGTGGGATAGAAACAGGAACTGCAGCAAGGAGTAAGCACACAGGTTTTGGCTCCTTACAGACCTGTGCTTAATGCCAACTCTGGTATTTACTAGCTATGCAGCCTTGGGCGAGTTCTTAACTCTCTGGGCTGGCTTCACTACCTGGGTATACACAGCTAGGGCAAGCTAAGTGCAAAAAAAAAAAAAAAAAGGCCATTATTATTTTCCTTCTTCTTCCATATATTTCTTTCTAAAACCTTCCCTTCTTTTCCTGCCTATCTCTATCCCAGAATTCCAGCTTCCAGTTTCAAGACGACTACTTCCCCGCATCCTATTTATCCATCTGTCTATCTCCCTCCCCTGGATGACCCCCAGGAACTGCTTTCTCACCCATCCCCTCTCCTCCAGTGTCTCAAGTGCTACTCCCGCACTCCCCCATGCACCTTTCCCTCCATGTTTACCTAGACGCCGTCTCACCTGTCCTGAAAACCCCTCACTTGCCTCTGCTTCCCTATCACTATCCCTATCCCTTTTATTTTCAAGCTTATTTTAAACTTACTTTATGTTTTACTTTTTTACTTTGTAGAGACGTCTTTGTTTTTTGTGCTCTTCAACCTTTCATTTGAGTCTGATCACTAGAAGCCATGAATGGCCCCTCCCAGCCCTCCTGGCCTGGCTTTTCTGCTGCCTTTGATACCCGGACCACCCTCTACTCCTGCCCCCACCCCATGCTCCATGCTATCCCTGCTCAGTCCTGCTCTGTCCCTGGTAAGGCTGTCCCTCGGGATTCTATCGCCCTGGCTCCTGGCCGCCTGACTTACTGGGTCTAGCCAAAGGGAGCTACTGGCAGGGGGTTGGCGGTTAGGAGGAGAAATAAGTTGGGATATTTTCTTCCCGCTTCTCCCTTCTAGTGCTACCATGGCTCAGGCAGTGGCTGCTTTCCGCTGATAGGCGGTCCCTCCTCCACAGCTCCAGCTTTCTGTTGGCTCCAGTAACGTAATCATAATCGTCTCTTCTGCCCTTCCAAGTGGGGGTGTTCACAGCTCCCTGTCTTTGGATGCATCACCATCCCTTGGTCGTCCCCTCATCTGTGCCCACTCCTCTGTGGGAGCCCTGTTAAAATGATTGTCAATTGGACCTTTTTGTGTGTGCCCACCTGTTCCCAGAAGGGAACTTGTGCGGGAGCTATCTACTACCTGCTGGGCATTTCTTTCACTCTTACAGAGGGAGTGGGAGAGCCTGGAACCCTCTTCACAGGGGCACATTCATTTATCCCACTTATTTTCCAAGCTCCTACCGTATGCCAGGAACCACTAGGTGCTAGGAAGGTGCTATAAATAAAGGAAACACTACCTCTCTGTTCCTAGATGTGGAAGTGATGCTGATATTGTAAATCTGTACTCGCAGGATTTTAATCCAATACCCTGGGTTCAGGGAGTGAAGGGAGACCCTCAAATGAGTCTTCAGAGAGAGTTTGGGCATTCCTGGTCATCTCAGCCTGAAAGGCACATTTGAGCTTCTGTTCTGAGTGTGAGTTGAGAAGTCAGGATGCCCACCAGGGTGGAAATGGGGGCCCAGGCTTGAACCACAGAAATCTGCCAACTAAAGATTGGTCTTGCCATGGCCAGAAGCATAATGCCCTAAAAACAAAAGAGGATTATTGGAAACTTACAATCTAATGCAAAGAAAGAAAACAGTTCCTCCAGAGAGGGGCTGATTCCCACCCCCAGCACTGAGTGGACCCCACAGGGTGGCACTATCTCCCTGTTTGTCATGCTCTGGCCTGAGCCAGGTCACAAGTCCTTCCCTCTACACCCAGAATATGTTGGGCAATCAGGGATCAACAAGGAAATAAACCCTGAGACCAACGTACAGCTAGATGGGCCCTTCCTGACATTATCTGACCATGAAACCCTTTAAAAAGTACTCTAAATTTTGAGACATCTGCAGGAGCTCTGGAGTTATCATTTGTGCCAGGGTTACAGTAGAAATAAAAAACAGTCCTAAAGACAAATTCGTTGCTGCAAAATTTAACAGTTTTCCACAACACTCCAAGCAGAATTTTTATAATCACAATATAGAAAAACCAGATATTTTTAAAGACCCAGTGTTCAAATGACAGCAAGATAAGACAACACTTAGTAACACACACTAACGCTTAGATGACATACACCAATGATGTCAACAGTTATTTGGTAAATACTTCTTAGGCAGTTGAAGCGTCACACCTGCAAAGCCATAGGTAATTTCTCCCCAGGATCACCTGTTTCACTTACGTAGCACAGAGATTCAAAGGGAGATTTTCCTATTATAATAACTATATGAAATGTGTTCAGCATTTTAGAAATCTTTCAAAAAACTATATTCAATTAACTTTCATGTGAAAAATACATAAAAATGCACTCTAAAAGGTGAAAGTTATCCACAGTTCTACAACTCAAAATACATGAACGTTTACTGAGTGCTTACTATGTGCTAGGCATTGTTCTAAACACCTTACATGTGTTTTGTCATTATGTGTGAGGTAGGCAATAATTTTGTTCCACGTAACTGGCTGGGATCCGAGAAGTTAAATAACTTGCCCAAGGCCACACAGCTAGCACAGGTAGAAGTTAGATTTAGATCTAAACAATGTGGCTCAAGAGCCAGTCCTCCTAATCTTACTGAATGGAATTTTCCTCCATTGCTCTAACTCATTCCCCAGAGAGCATCACTACTGATATTTTGGTGTTTGTCCATCTAGCCTTTTTGCCATGGCCACACACAGAGACACAAACATAAAGGAGCTCATGCTAGACATATTATTTCGTGGCTTGTGTTTTTCATTTAATATATCTAGAACATCTTTCCATTTCAACAGGTATCTACATAATATTCCTTGGTGTGAATATAGCATAATTTACTTAATCAGCCTTCCATTATTGGATATTAAAAGAGTTTCTACGAGTTAATGCTTGTAACTTGTGATAAGCATAACTTACTTTTCCTCACTTTAAAATGTTTGAAGAAAATATATTATTAGCATGGATTATTTTCACGTGACACTAACGTCTCTTAAAACACTAATGTTTGTGGAACACTGGGAAGCGAATCCAGATACTTCACTACCTTCAGTAAGCTTCAGCTTGCAATCCCTTTCTTCTGCACTCTGAGTCATGTAGCAGAACCTGCTGTCACTCACCCTCCCACCCCACATCACCAAACCATCCCCACAAACTCAAATATCTCAGCCTAGAAGACAAGACCTAAAATAGCAGGGACCAGAGAGATATGGAGTATCCATACTTCTCCCCAGCTCAGACCAGCTTTTTGACTTCTGAGTGTTTGGCTGAGGAAACATGATTCCTTCAGTGAAGACATTAATGACTACCAGTGGGTGGGCAAACAAAGAGACCAGAAGAATTGGGTCAAGGAGAGACTCCCTGGGGTGAGGGGAGGGGTGAGTAAGATGGTAGATGCCCGCTATTGACAGCAAGATAAATGTGGACTCATATGTTTCCTTCAAGGACAGAGTAAAGTTTCAGATTGTTTTGATGACTTTTTGTTGGTGTCAGCCTAGGTGTCCTTGAATGAAGGTCCTTGAAAGACAGGACCTTCGCCAAGTACCCCTTGAGTAAACTGTTATGCATATGACCACCATAGTAGGAGGGAAAAAAGGACTTGTTGGTTTATTTTTTAGGTTGGGGGGGGTGTTGTTTGTTTGTTTGTTTATTACTTAGGTCTTTTTCTAACTTCAGTACCTACTCTCAGGGGTCAAGAAGTTAATCTTTTTTTTTTCTTTTGGTTGAACAATTTTTTTGTTGTTGGAAATTTTTTTAATTATCTTATTTTTTTTATTATGTTAGTCACCATACAGTACATCATTAGTTTTAGATATTGTGTTCCTTGACCTTTGTTTGCATTTAACACCCAGTGCTCCATGCAATAGGTGCCCTCCTTAATACTGTCACCAGGCTCACTCATCCTCCACCCCAAAACCCTAAGTTTGATTCCCAGAGTCCATAGTCTCTCATGGTTCATCTCCCACTCTGATTTCACACCCCCTCCCATTTTCCCCTTTCTTCTCCTAATGTCCTCCATGCTATTCCTTATATTCCACAAATAAGTGAAACCATATGATAATTGTATTTCTCTGTTTGACTTCAGTGAAAAAAAAAGGACTTGTTTTGAGAAATCCAGTAAGGATTCCCAGGAGAAAGAAGCTCCAGCAGCAGAAGAGGCAGTAGCAGTTAGGAAAGACAAGGCAAGCCAGATTTTTGACCCTTGGGAAGCTGAGTTAGGATTAGAATTTACATTAAGAACTTTTATTTCACCATGCCATCTGGGTGACAAATGAGAGGAAGGAGAAAACACTGATGATTGCATAAAAGGTTTTATGGGCCAGGCCTGGAGGGGGCAAACAGTAACTTCCAGAGCCCAGTCACTTGACTACCTCTAACTGCAAGAAAGGCTGGACTGTAATCATCTAGCTATGTTCTCAGGAGGAAATAATTTGGGGAACAACTACTGAACCCCTTTCAAGAGTCAAGACTTTGGGAAAAAGTTAACCTGTCTGCACCTCAATTTCCCCCATCTTTAAAATGATAGGAGAGTACCTTCCTTCCAGGATGTTTGAGCCATTAATGTATGTAGAGGAATGTGGCCTATAAGAAACACTCCATAGTTGTTGGCTTACTAGCCTTAATCATTGTGTCCCCAACCCTGAGCAGTGGCTAGCAGTCAGCAGATCCCTACAAGGACTGTGTAATGACTATAACTCCGGGTGCTCTAGTCTGAGTAAATCCTTTGGGTTTGGACAGCTCATGAGGAACCTGACCCCTGGGATGGCTCATAGTGCTGTAGCCAGGAAACCTGAGTTGAGAAGACCATGGTGAATACGGGCTCCCTCAGTGGGAGTGTAGACTAAAATACAGACCAAGAGGCACTGTTAGGAGCCTAGAACCATGGAGGACCAGAGGTCAAATAAGTCCACAGGTCAGTGCCAATGACCTTCTCAGAGAAAGGCTAGGTAGGGTGGGAGGTCAGGGTGCAGTAGTTGCCCAGTCTCTAGGAGTCAGATGTAAGGAGTTGGAAGGGCAGAGCAGAGACCTGGAGGGCTAAAGTGATGCTCAGAGCATCCTGCTCTCCACCTCCTTCAACTTGGGGTTGTTCCTGAGTGTCCTCATGCAACCACAGACTGAGGATAGAACAACATCCTCGGCACAGGGAGCCTGGAATGTCCCAAGTGACAAGTGCTTAGCTTGCCTTCCTCCCTGAGGAAGACCTTTCCCTTGCACCCAGCCTGCCAAACCTCAGACCGCCCCCCACTCTTCACCTCTCCAACCCCTCTACCTTTCTGGCCATGAAGCAGCCTGACCCTCAGGTCCCATCCTGTAGGCAAGCTGACCTTTCACTGTAATTGAGGGCAAGCTGAAAGACAAAAAAACATTCACAAACAAGCTGCTTGAGCAAGAGGTGGTAAATTCCCTGTCCTTGGAGAGATTGAGGCAGATACTGCATGACTCACTGGGATTTTGCAGTTGGACTCACTGGCAGTTAGATTCGATGATCTTTAAATGTTATCCTTGAGAAGTGATGTATCAGCAGTCAAGCAATCTTTTCCATGACGTGGTAGGACCCCACCCTCTGCCCCCATGACCTGGAGTTCCCACAGTTCAGAGTCACTCCTTGGGAGTGCCTAATAAAGAAGGGGGCTCTGTCCCCATAATAGCCCTGTGCAAGGGCACTAGGGCAAAACAGGAGGTAACCCTCAGCCTGCTGTCCTTGAGGTGCAGCTAGTAGAATACATGATAGCTTCTGTGGAAGGCAGAGGAACCCAGATCAGTTCTGGTGGAGCTGCAGGGGCCACCACGGGGAAGGAAATTCCCATGCCCCACCTTGACTGGCAAGGCCAAGGGTTAAGGAAGACCGCTGAGCAGCAGACACTGCCCGTCCTGTCAGGATCATTTGTGAGAATCAAAATCAGAAGGTCAGGAAGGAGAGGAGGAGCTGGGATGGAGAGATAGAACTTAGTGACCCTCAGAGAGAGTTGGGCAGGGGCTGTCATGAGGAGATCACCAAAGAGGAACTTGCACAGCATGTCAGGATTTCATAAACCCTGGTCAGGAAGGAAGTGAGGGTCACAGAGTGTGAAGATTGGGTGACTTGGAGCACTGGTGTCCAGATCCTATTTAACTGGACTCTACTCCAGTATCCCTCCTCCCAGACCCTGGGGAGGGGAACAAGCAGTTGTCTAGAGACCCCTTCTATAGGTCCCAGAGCCTACCCATCACAGCCTTCACACTCAAAGCTTCTCCCCTCTGAATGATAACGACTTTCCTTTCCTCCTTCCTCCTCATTGCCCTTGTAGGAAGCAATGATCTTTTGCTGGTTTGGGACCATCTTTGCCATGCTGAAGTCCTCCCCCCGCCCATCACTGGCAGAGCAGCCCTATGCCTCACAAGTATTTGCTAAGTGCTCACTGCTCAGTGAAGTCTATCCTTAGCTCTTGAGCTCCCTATCCGGGGCAGTTGACTTGGTGGGCTGGGGTCTGGTTCCAGGGATGCAGGCATATTCTACAGTCAGAAGGGGATCAGGCATGGGTTTCAGTTTGGGCTGAGTGTTGACGTAGATGGAGTCCTCAGGGCCGAATTGATTCAGGTGGATAAGTGAGGCATAGCAGATGGCCCCAGTGTCCTCATCAGAGCCCTTCTGTTGATCGGAGCCCTAGGAATCAAAGGAGACAGACATTCAATGTACAGATCATAGCTGGGCGTGGTCCGTGGCCCCAAGGCTGCCCTGAGCTGGGTGGAGGACAGAGACAGTGATAAGGTGTGGAACAGAGTATGGACCCTGCAGAGCCTCTGGGAATGGCTAAAGGCAGCAAAGTCACCGTCACTAAAGATGTTTAAGAATAGGCTAAGGAAGGGGCGCCTGAGTGGCTCAGTGGGTTAAAGCCTCTGCCTTCAGCTCAGGTAATGATCCCAGGGTCCTGGGACGCAGCCCCGCATCGGGCTCTCTGCTCAGCGGGGAGCCTGCTTCCTCCTCTCTCTGCCTGAGTCTCTGCCTACTTGTGATCTCTGTCTGTCAAATAAATAAATAAAATCTTACAAAAAAAAAAAAAAAGAATAGGCTAAGGAAGACAACATAGGGTGTGACCCGTGGACCAATAGCACTGGCATCACCTAGCAGCTTGATAAAATCTCAGGCTCCACCTAAGCTCTAGGAAGGCAGTCTCTGGGGGTGGTGTCCAGGAAATTCTGTTTGCACAAGTTCTCCAGGAGTTTTCTATCCACACTTGTTTGAAGAGCACTGAGCTAGAAGAGCAATTGGTAGGGATGCCATTTGTAGAGTTGATCCCAGCATTACAGAGGGTTGTAGCAGATGCTTTAAATCCTCCCAATCCTGCAATTCTGTGATTTCAAGAGTTTTAGATCTTTAGACAAGACAGGCCTACCCAACAGCAACAGACCGGTCCCCAGTTCCTGATGAGAGAGCACCTAGGGAGCTGTGTTTTTACCATGTGACCCCCGTCCCCCTAGCTGACTGGACTGGTGGCAGCCATGCCATGAGAGGGGGCCCCCTATTAACAGTTGACTCCTGTGGGGGTGAAGATCAAAAGCTGGGGAGTCAACTTCTCTTTCTAAGTGGTTTGAATTGGGAAGGATGGGGCCAAGGGTGCATGTAGATGAGGCAACAGGAGCGTGAAGAGTCACGAGTGAGCCCTGGTGCAGAGTGAACAGAAACTACAAGTAAATACAAGCTGGGAAGCTGGAAAACAACAACCACCACCAAACAAAAAACACTGACAAACAAGATACCCAGGAAAGTTGAGATCGCCTCTGCCCTGGTGAGAGGTCCTTCCTATGCCCAGTGCTCTGTTCCTTCTGGACTGAGATGTTGTTATAGATGTGGTGGGATTTGTCCTCACCTGTGAAGGAAAGAGTCCAGTTTGGGGCAGGGACCTCTCCGCAGGTCCCATTCCTCTGGGAAGGCAGGGGCGCCCGAGGTCCCCACTGGGCGGAGGGACCAGGGCTGGGTCTGGAAATCCCACCCTGCCCCGGGGGGCTCACTAATGGCCAGCACACAGCATCCAGGGGTCAGACCTCGGTGCCAAGGGGCAAATCAGACTGGCGGCATACAGCAAATTTGCATAAAACTGGTAAAGCTGAATCAATCCCAGTCACTGAAAGTTCCAAATTTAAAAATCCATTTAAGTATAATCTATTTGCTAGTGAAGTTACCTATAATGTCTTTCAAAATTTTGAACCAAGAACCGCATTGAGAAACATTTTATCTTATTTCTATATATACAAACACACAGACTCATACACACACTCTCTCTCCTAAAAGTCCAATGAAAAAATATTTATCTTTCCAATGTGATATTTTGCTTTTCTATTTTAGTTTATGAAAATAGTATTGTGACCCACTACGTTTACTTTACATAATTTGAAAAATACGTATATAAAATTTTACAACCCATTACTACTTTAGGATTTTGATAGCTCGAAAAATTAAAGTCATTAAGGTTCAACATAGCGCTGGCCCACTTCCACATTTCAAAAAAGTTGTCACCACACACATCACTGGATTATATGGTTAATAAATATGCAATATGTGCTAAACAAACCAAACAACAAAAAACAAGGCCGGAATCATCAAAAGACACTAATCTGATAAGCCTTGCACAAAATGCTGGTGATTTTACATGTGATTAATGCTAAAAAAACCCTGCAACTTAAACATTAAAAAATCCTTTAACGGGGCGCCTGGGTGGCTCAGTGGGTTAAAGCCTCTGCCTTCAGCTCAGGTCATGATCCCAGGGTCCTGGAATCAAGCCCCGCATCGGGCTCTCTGCTCAGCGGGGAGCCTTCTTCCCCCTCTCTGTCTCTGGCTGCCTCTCTGCCCACCTGTGCTCTCTGTCTGTCAAATAAATAAATAAAATCTTTTAAAAAAAATCCTTTAATGCTTTTAGGAAGACAAATTTTTAAAACAATAGTGACAATTTAAAAAAATACTCTTGTGGTGCCTGGGTAGCTCAGTTGGTTAAGCATCTGCTTTTGGCTCAGATCACGATCCCGGGGTCCAGGGATTGAGACCGCAGCCGACTCCTTGCTCAGCAGGGAGCCTGCTTCCCCTCTGCCTGCTGCTTCCCCTGTTTGTGTACTCGCTCTCACTATCTCTCTCTCTCTGTCAAATAAATAAATAAAATCTTAAAACACATATAAACACACAATAAAAAAGTTTTCCAGATAAATTTGTTTAAAAATCCTTACCTATAAGAAGAGGGCAAAATATACACTCCCCAATGGATACTAGAATACCCAGTTTTTGGTGAATAAGGTTTGGAAGGGGCTGACCTTGAGCCTTTGAGGAGAATGACCCCACCTGCTGCTCTGACAAAGCAAGAGAACACAGCGATCCTGACCACTCACCACACAAGCCTCAGTTTCCCTGTTGGTCAAATGGGCATGAGAAGCCAGTCTTCAGGCTCGTGGGCATGGGAACATCATGGCTAAGCCCTCAGTGGTCTACTTGGAGCCAGCACTGGGGTTTACCTTTTGCGGCGCTTCTGCGGGCTTTCCTGAAGGACAGGATCACGAGGAGGATGAGCACCAGCACCAGCAGGACACCCAACGTAGAGCTGGGAACGATGAGCTGCCAGTTGCCCTGAGGGCTTTGGAATAACAAATGACCAGCCAGGTGAGGCAAGTGGGAGCCAACCTTCTGTCCAGAAGGCATCCCTCTCCCCACCTGGGTGATCGTGACCGACCCTCCTGTTGAGCCGGCCATGGTCAAGGGCTCTGCCCCATAAGCCATGCATGTCCAGCCACGTCCAGCCACGTCCAGCTACATCCAGCCACGTCTGGCCATGTCTAGCCACATCTGGGCTTGTTTCTTCCTCTGTGAAACGGGAATGTCTTTCCTCCTTTTCCCTTTCTGGCTGCTGTCCCCTAACTTGAACCTTGTTGCAGGGTCTGTACTCACCCCTCCCACATCCTGCTCTTAACTATTCTTGGTCCCAGTTCCTCACCCCTGCCCATGAGATGGGCTCAGCTGGTGCCCTGTGACCAACAGCGCTGCCACATAATAAATGCTTTTGAACAAGACCTGTCTTAGGTCAAAGGCAGAACACTAAGATAGGCTTCCTTACACTGCAGCAGGCTTCCAGGGAAGGTGTCTGCGGTGTCAAGGGTTGAAGCCCTAAGCCTGGGTGGCAGCTGCTGTAAGGACCCCTCTATGCTCCATGACCAGCACCACGCAGCTTCTGGGTATAGCGCCTTGAAGCAAGGAACCAGGATTTCTGAGAACCCTGGGCTCCCATCGCAGTGATGGTGGGTGGGCAGAAGGCAGGGGAGGGTGGTGGCCGGAAGAAAAACAGCTATCGGGTCACTCCCGGGGGCTGGGGCCTGGGAACCATCAGGCAGGATGACAGGAAATCAGGCCATGGACTGTAGTAACTACAAAGTGCACCCTTTCCCGGGACCCCGGCAGCTATGGGATAAAGAAGGGCTGGAAGAGGGGAGAGAGAAATGAGGCAGCCCTGGTCACATGTCTGGCATTGAGTCAGACCCAATTCTACCTCATCTTCACAGCCCTCTGTACAGCAGTGGTTGCCAACTGGCGGTGCTTGTGTCTCCCAAGGCAAGCTTGGCAATATCTGGAGACGCTTGGATTTTGTTGTCGCAACTGGGTGATCCAGGGGGAGATTGGCACTGCTGCTATCTAATGGGTAGGGGTCAGGGATGTTGCCAAATAGCCTGCAGTGCACAGGACAACCTCACACCAAATGTTGACATGCCAAAGGCAAGCAGGTACCTGCTGTAACGTGAGGATGTCATTGGCCCCATTCTGCAGATGAGAAAACTGAGGTTTAAAGAGGCAAAGCCACCTGGTACAAATGGTGTGACTCCCATTTCATCCCCTGAGAGCCAGATAGTGGTGGGGATGTGGCAGCTGGAGGCATTCGCCACAGCTGGCCATGGGTGGGAGGAAGTGGAGGGCAGGGAAGATGGGGAAGAAGTACCTGTCAGTGACAGGGCTGGTGGCAGAGGTCCAGGCTGTGGTCCCACTGGTGCTCCTGGCAGTACGCAGGGTTGAAGCTGTAAGAGATGACAATGAGGGTAGCACTCCCATGTGTTTGCCCCACTTTCCAGGCTCCCCATTGCTAGTCCTTGGCCCTGGAAAGGAGGAGCCCACACAGGGCCCTGGGCCAGGTGAGGACTCTGAGAAGCACCATGCCTCATGCCCTGCACCAGGCCCTCTATGCGGGAGTTACTCTGTGTGGGATTTCCCTCTCAGTCAAGTGCTCCAGTGTGAGAGGCTTTAGGTTAGGATCACACTGTCACTGGTATATTGGATATACTACAGTCTTTTCTGTTTTCATTGTTCTTGACCATGTTATGCACTCTCAACCGAAAATGCATCCCTCCCACCCCCCACCCCACTTTTGTCTCTTCTGGATCAATTCCTGCTCACTCATAAGGCCCAAGTGGTATCACCTCCTTTGGGGAATCCTCTAGGAGAATCCATACCACTGCTTTCTCCAGCAACCTGCTCCCTCCCTTCACTGGGCCACCATCCAACATGCTTCCAATACACCACCTACCACCCACCAACTTAACCCTTCACTTCTGTGTCGGCCTTGGGTGCAGGGTTCAGCAGGGGATGCTGTGGGCTCCACCAGCACAGGATAGAGTCTCAAGGTGTTTGATTTCCCTTCCAGGGTGCAGCCCCTGCCGTACATAGAGTGGACAGTGAGCCATGGCTTGGGTGGTTGGTGATTGACCAAGCAGCTGACCAGGGTCCTCTGGGTGCCCAGCTCACCAGATGGATGAGCAGGCTTGGCAGCTGGTCTGGGAAGATGCCATTCAAGCCCTGGCCATCACAGGGAAACACAGGGGGGCTTTGTAAGTCTGAGATTTTCAGGAAAAACACCAGGGCCTCAGTCAAGACTATCGCCCAGCTTCCCACCTGAGCCTTAAGGTCTCTCGACTCTAAGGAGCAGGTCCAGGGTGAGGACACAGGCTCTCTGAGCCCTTGGCCACCACACCTCCCTGTCTCGTCCCCAGAGTACCGTGTCTGCCTCCCTAGATGGCTCCTGTCTGTCCACATTTCTTAACCCATCCAGTCACCTGCAACGCAAGCACTACCCTTTGAGAGAAAGCTGGGGTTAGGGCCAAGAGTCGGGATGCCAGGGATGGCCCAATCAGCCAGTCTTGCTCAAATCTGAGAAGGCTCTACAGTCATTACAAACCAGTGGATGAGTCTTGTTCATAACAACAAAAATGTTCAGAGAAATGCATGTGATGGAAAAGGAAGAACCACGGGAGCCAGCAGGTCTGAGTTCTGGTGCCTGATCTGCCCTTAACCAGAGGTGACTCTGGGCAAGGGGCACCCATTTTTGGCTGTGAGAGCACTGAAGACCATTATTTTGGAGTCCTTTCTAGCTGTAACATCTTGTGACTCAGGATGATTGAGAAGCACACAAAGAAGGGAAAGGACTCACCCCGAGATACCACCAGATGGATGTTTCTGTGAAAAAATATCCTGGAGGATTTGTAGGTTCCACATGAATAAGATCCAGAGTCTTCAACCCTGAGCTCGGTCATGGTGACGATGAAGTAGCCCCATCTGACGTTATCCTCAATGGAGTTTCGAGGCTTCCCCTGGAGCTGGGGCGAGGTGGCTAACCGGGTACAGGTACGTGGTAAGTCCCACCTGCACCAGAATTTCACGGCTCCTGAGCCTCTCTGGGGCTGGTACGGGCACTTCACAGAGAAGGACTCCCCTTCCAGGTGATGCAGCAACTCTAGCTTCTGTCCCCACGAGCCTGAAAGTACACTCTCACGTCAGGGAGCCACCCCTCAGACATGGTGGGGCTGGCAGGTGGGTGCCCCGGCCGTCCCTCTGCATGGCCCCCCTCATGTCCACCTCACCTGGCCATCTCCCTCCTCCTGCCCCTTTCCCTCCCTCTGCCCCCCTCATCACCTGAGGCCAGGAGCACCAGCAGGACAGGCGGCAGCGGGCATGTGGCGTCCCAGGCCATGGGCCCTCTTCTTGAGCTGGGGTGGGAGCAGGGAGGCCCTGAGGAGAGGGAGCTGGAGCTGGGGCGCAGGGGTGGGGATTTGGCCTAGCCACTCTCACTTGTCCAGGAAGAAGAGCTGAGGGAGGCCAAGTCCTCCAGGGGGCAGCGGGAGGCCTGGGAGGAGGGGAGGTCTTGGCCTGTAAGCAGGAGCCTTGTGCTGCAGGTGCTACATGTGGGCTGGGTCCAGTCTCAGAGCTGAGGCTCCAGGAGATTCTGAAGCTTCTATCGGCTAACTCTTGCCCAGCCTCTTCCTCCTTGTTGCATTGGGATTAGGGTGTAGAAAGCTGTGAAAGTCCAGGAAGAAACTCTCTTGAAACCAGAACCTATTTCTCCTTTCTGCTTTCCCCTCTAATCTACCACTTCCTCCCGTTCCCAAGTATGTCCTCCCTGCAAGTAGAAAGGTCCAGCTGAAGGTTGACAGAGTTAGGGGACCCTTTGGAGGTGCCCAGTGGTCCGAGACTTCCTGCCCAGGCCTGTCTGGGAGCTGGGGAGCTCTGTGGGGATTGGAGGGACCAAGGAGAAAGGAGAGGGAGAGTCATTTCCAGAAATGGAGGTAAAGGGAATGCCCCTGGTATGGGTGGGAGAGAGTGAAGAAGCTGCAGACATAATTGGTGGAGAGGGGAGTCAGTGGGGGGAGATAGATGCAGAAGGATGGGACCTGGGGGGGTTCCTCCTCCAGGTCACCCCAGTTCCTCAGCTCCCAGCCTGCCATAATCACTCCATAAGCATTTGTCAAAGGACCACAGTAATCAAGCACATCTTAAGGAATAATTGTCATTAGAAGAGCTACTATAACCACAGGCTCTTTACAACCCAGAAAGAAGAAAACCCCGTGAAAATGCAACATGGCAGGTCGGGCATGTGGTGTGCAGACTCTGAGGTGGAGATGAGCACAGCAGGCCTAAAGTGCCCGGGGAACAAGCCGGGATTAGGAGGACAGGAAGCAGGACAGGACAACAGGAAGCTCAGGGTGTGAGGACTTCCGAGGACAGGAGGCTCTCCAGGATGGCAAGGGAATGATGGGGCTTCAGGCCCTGCAGCAGCCCTTCAGGAGTGGGCGGCGGCAGGTGGCGGGCCTCTCCAGGAAGGGCCTGGCTCTGTGCAGCTGCAGCAGCCCCCAGAAGGGCTCTCACTACTCCCAGCAGTGGGGTAAGAAGTACATCAGCCTGAAGGAGAAGCATCCCCGACCCAGTACCATGCAGCCATGTGGGAGAACTGTGACCCTGAGGCTTGCTTGCTGGCCTCCCTGTAGGGGCATGTGTACTCCACGGTGACAGACCCACCTGCCATGCTCTGCAGAGGAAACCCCCCTCAGTGCTGTTTTGTTTTGTTTTTTTTTTATGTGTCCTTGCCCTTGGTCACGCCTGGAAGCCCTTCACAGGTGTGTCCCATCATCACAGCCCACTGCTCAGGAAGCTTCATTGCCTTACCCACTAAAGGCAGCGGCAGCCCTGGCCCGTTCAATACTCGCAGGTGTCCCGCCCTTCCCTGCCCTCTGTCTGTCCCGGCTCTGGGTCCTCCTGCAGCTCCAGGGCGAGGAGGAGGAGCAGGAAGGAGAAAATGAAGCGCTGGGGCTTTGAGGACAATGTCCCAGAGCACTGGAGGTCCAAAGAAGCCCCTCAGGGCCCACCGGAGGTGGAGAGCAGGGGCAGGGCATCTAGAGCCCTAAGCGCCCTGTGTTCTTACTGTGGGGTTCATGTGGGAGCAGGATCTGTGGGCGGGCACGTCACGCAGGCTCCCCCCATTCCAGGAGCCTCTCATCCTGGGCAAAGAGGGATGGCAGGTCTCCTCACAGCTTCCCTGCCTAGCATCAGGGCACAGCCAAATGCCTCTGCCTGGGTCCAGCACCCACAATGTGAGGCCTGACCATGTGCCCCTCTGTCCTCCCTTGCCCCTTCCAGTCGAGCACAAAACAGAGAAATAGGGTCCAAAGGTCTTCAGTACAAAGACCACTGGAGCTGGAGGAGAGCTTGCAGGCCAGCAATCACGAGGCATTTACTCAGGTGCGTGAGGTTCAGGTGACTCCCTTTTATCCCAAAGGCAGTCTTGAGAGGTAGGCATTAGTGTCCCCTTTCACAAGAGAGGAAAATGAGAGCCAGCAGGGTTAGTGACTCACACAGGGTTACACAGACAGGTGGCCTCACTAGGCCGCAGTCCTAAGCCCTCTGCTGCTCTCCCACAGGACATCCTGTTCTCAGATGAGGCAGGGCAGTCAGTGTGCTGTTGTAGGATCGCGAATGGAGGGGGGCTTTTAGGGAGCTATTTTCCCACAGGGAAATTAAGCCCCCTCCTAGTTAGACACCAAGGTCATGGCCACCCTCTCCTGGCAGGGAGGATGGGGGTGGGGTGGGGTGGGGTGGGGTGGGGTGGGGTGGGGTTGGGTGTGTGTGTGTGTGTGTGTGTGTCTGTGTGTGTGTCTGTGTGTGTGTCTGTGTCCTGGCACCAGGTTTGTTAGTTCCTCAATCTGAGTCTCTCCTCTAGTGCCTTCTCCTGGACATAGGAAAGAGGTGCCTCCTCCGTGCTGTCCCCCGGGATTATCTCCCGCCCCTCTCTCTCTCCCCACATCCATTCTGGAGTGGTCTCCCAGCTACCCATCAAGGCCTGAGCTGTGTCACTCTCCTATGACATTTGCTCCCCCACCTGGGAGGTCCCTGTCCCTGTCCCTGTCCCCTGATGTCACATCAATCCCTGGGGGCTTATTCCAGGTGCTCGGGCTGGTAGAGCCCCTGTTCCACGGGACAAAGCCAGCCCATATTCTCCAGCCCTCACTGTGGAAGAGGCCAAGTCTGAGCCAGGAGCCAGTAAAGCTGAGGCCAGACTCCTAGGGCCATTGGGCCCCCATCGAGGCTCCTCAGCACCATCCTCCCTAGCCCTACCCCACCCAGGTGTTCCTCCAGGCTGTGCTCTGCTCCAAGCTGTCCTTGCTGGGTCACAAGCAGCTCCTCTCTTCCCAGGCGATGATGAGTCCCAGGGGAAGGCAGATGATCTACTACTTCTCTGAACCGTGGCCTCCCCTGCAGTGGACTCTGGAGGGCTCTCAGTCTCCTGTGGAGCTCAGACCTGGAGCTGGGAACTGGGGGAGAGGGCCCTGAGTTTAGCCTCTACACACCAGTCTGGGGACAGGCTGGTCCTGACACCATGCAGCTCTGGGCAGCCTGGTCACAGCTTTCCCTGGAGAGCTGGCCAGTGGGTAGCACCAGTGGGAGGGTGGGCTCTGCTGGTTCCCAGGACTTGAGTGACAAGCAGCTGCAGTCAGGGCAGGACACATCCAGAGGCCCATCAGAGGTCACAGGACTCTGGGGATGGGGGACTTGGACTGCGCTGGGGTCCCCTACTGCCAACACCCCTGTGGACCTCCAGCTCTTGGTCGCTGTTCCTTCCCCTCCATGGCAGGACCCTTGAGACACTGATTGCCTCTGGGACTCTTTCTTCCCCAAGCACATGGGGAAGCTTGAGGGGAGCAGAGGAAAGCTGAGGACACAGGGTTCCAGATGGGGAGAGGGCAGCTGTTCACCTGTCTGCTCCCCTCTGCTCCATAGCAAGGGGTTCTGAGGCCCACAGGACCAGAACTCTCTGTGTACAGCATCGTCAAGTCTTCCCCACCACCCAGAGGGGACCCAGGGCTCTGCGGCTCTGAGCTGATTCCCCTCGGTGGCTTCCCCTGGGGTTTCCTGACTGGTACCCCCAATCTGGGGGCTGTCCCAGGCCCCTGGCAGCCCAAGAGGACTGAGTGGGTCAAGAGCAGCCTCTGGTTCTGGAGAGGCCTGAGTCCAGCCTTGAGCAAGTCCTCAGCCCTCAGCTGGGTTCCAGTTCAAACAGGCCCCCGTCTTCATCCTCCTCTGGCCTCCAAAGGCCCCTCCAGGAGGAGCTCACGCAATCCATAGTTAAGTTGCCTCAGACCAAGCAGGCTTCCATGGAGGCTCCAGTCTTCCAAGTGGGTCCCTCCAGGGTCTAGCAGGATTGTTGCACACCCTGTAGCCTGTGAAGACAAGGAGAGAGATGCAGAGGGGCAGGGCTCCTGCCTGGGCCAGTCCATCCCCTCTTCTGGCTCTGCCCTCTGCTTCCTGCCAGGTCAGCCCCCGAGGGTCATGCCATGCTGTTCCTGCCTGCCTGCCCTCCTCCCACCCTCCTCCCTCGTCTGGGTGCTGAGCAGTCCTTGTGGCTGGATGCAGTTGATGACATACCACTTGGGGACAGAGTGCAGTCAGGCGCTTTGGCAAGTGTGTCAAGCCCCCGTGCTCTGCCCCCCCTGGAGGACGGGAGAGTGGGTCGTACTCACTTCCCCTGTGTCTCTTCTTCCAGAGCCCATAGACCGCGATCAACATCAGAGACACTGGGAGAAAGATCAGCAACCCAGGGAGCACAATGGAATACGAATCCTGGTGCCTGAGGGGACAGAACAGAGCAGGGAGGTGGTGAGCATCCAGGTGCCCCCACCCTGACCCATGTCTTTCTGGATGCCACGTAAGAAGAGCCGGGACCAGGAGAAATCCTCACAGCCCTGGTAGGAGTGACTGCCTCCCTTCCTTGGGGATCCAGCCATGGCAGAAGGAAGTGAGGAGCTCAGAGGTCAGGGGAAGAAGGTCAGGTAGAGAAGGGCAACTCTCCACTTTAGCACCTTCCCTCCATTGTTCCCCCAAACCTGCTCATCACCGAGGATGAGAACTCTAAGAGACCCCCATTTGTGACAGAAGAAACTGAGAGTCTTGCTCTCCTCATAGTGAGAGCCTCTCCTCATGGCCCCTTCCCTCCTTTGTCCTCTGAAGCAGATTTGGTAGGTACACAACCTGTATCCCCTTGCACCAGCCCTCAGCACCTCCATCTAAATTTTTTTCAGCCCTTGGACCTTCTCCTGTCAGTACAGTCCTCTTTGCCACCCATGGCAGGCAGCCCCTCACTGATGACCAATATGAGCAGTGTTGGTGTAGGAGTTGGTGTATTAATACCCCAGCTCCCTCGCCCTTCAGCTGGGAGTCTGATCCTGGGCCCTAGAGCTTCCTCTGGGCTTGTGCTCTGCTGCCCACAGTGGTGGACAGCTTGATTAGGTTCTCTACCAACTGCTTCTCTGTCTCCCTTCCCCCTGCTCTTTCCAGTACTCCAGGTCCCAGAGGCTGCTTCTGGGGGAGCCCAAATTAAAGCATCCACCATTTCCCACTTTCTACTCCCAAGTCACATCCTTGTCCTGCCCCAACCTTCTCCTCTCCATCCACAGACTCATGCTGACCCATCTCCAACCCTCACTTCTCACTGCCATCCTCTATGTCCCCTCTCCAGCCTGGCATCTGGCCTCCCATGACCTCCCATTCAGCAGCAGGCCAGACTGACCTCCTGAAAAGGAAAGCTCTGCTATCACATCTGCACCTTGAGGTCTATTCAGGCACCAATTACTGTTGCTGGATCTGGTCAAAAGCCACCCAAGCCCAGGAGCCACAGGTACCTGACAGGGGATAATTTGTTGAGGAGAGACCCGCCGGTGTGGCACATTCCTGTGGTGGGTGATCTGGTGTGCAGATGCCCAGCCCTGGTGGAGATGGATGCTGGGGCAGCAGAGGAGGCTCTGGCATCACTTGGAGACACAGTCACTGTCTGGGATTCCACGGTCCTCCTGGGCCCCATGGTAGAAGGGCCAGGGCTGGTGAAGCTGAAGCCTGTCATGGAGGTCAGTCTGATGGACTCTGAGGCAGTCGGGGGCACGAGACTGGTCAAGGTGAGGAGGCCAGGTGTGAAAACTGTCATGCTGGTGGTGAAAGGGGCATCAGAGCCTGAGGTGGGGGCTGGGCCCGATGTGACAACAATTCTGCTCCTGAGGATATTGGCCAGCTGTCTAAGAGGAGTGCTTCTCCTGGTTGTGGAGGCTAAGGGGCCAGAGAGGGAAGAATGTTAGACTGAGTCAGGGGCCTCGCTGATGGGAAAAGATCCTTGTCTCCCCTCCTTGACCCTGGACCAAGAATTCTGCTCTGCTGTGTGACCAAATGTGGGCTTGTCAGGGAGAAGAAGTAAGCACAGTAAAGAAGGAAGAGGCTCTCCCAGTTTCTTTAGCTTTCCCTATCAGGCCAACTCTCCTCCCTGTCCTCACCTCTCTAGTCACCTCCAGACCTTCCTTATTCCTGCACACCAAAGAGATTTCTTCACTAGCATGTTGAACAGGGACTTTCCAGGTGTTCCATAATTGGTGACCAGGGTCCAGAAATGAGGACAAGGAAGCACTGAAGGCCCACATTCCAAAGACTGCCTCCAGCAGCAGATGCCCACCTTAAGAGCTTAAGAAGAGACACCTGCTCCCATCATCCATCCACTCAGCCTTTTACCTCACGTTTTCTAGAAGGCTGGCATTTGGGTGGTGGAAGAAGAAGGGTTGTAGGAAACATGAGGTCCCATCTGTGGCGATGTGGTGGAGTCTATCTCTGCAGAGAGCAAGAGAATTGGAGAGAGATGGTGGGGGAGAGAGAGGGCTGGCACAGGCAGCCACATCCCATGACTGTGCATGGCAAGGACACACTCCTGAGGGCTAAATGGCCACCATGGAAGGTACCCATCTTTCTGGGCAAGGGAACCCAGAACAAGCAGCACTGGTGAGAGCGGGGATGGGGGTTAGAGGGTGACCTGGAGCCAGACCTCCCACATCATCCTACTCAGCAGTGGAGAGACCTCAAAGACCCCTCAGAGAACTCACGTGTGCGTGTCTTAGGAGAGCCAGCATTTAGACACCCACCTAACAGAGGATCACAAAGGGCTGGGTAGAAAAAAGTAACACCCAACAAAGAGGAGAAGGCAGGACGAGGTTACTGAGAAGAACCCCACCTTCCCCACCTGCTGGGACGAAGTAGAGGGAGTTAGGCAGCAGGCTACTACCCTCCTTCCTACTCTGGGTGGCTTGGGCCATAACCTCTGGTCTTCAAGGAGTAGAAGAGCATATATTGCTAGAAGATTAGAGTTTTTAAATGGGCTGAGGATTTTTTTATTCCCTAATAACTGAAAGGGTCTGCTAAGTTGGAATCTCCCCAAATGGTCTTTTTAAAAGGTAGACCATGGGATTTGACAAGGGAGGGGGGTATATGCAAAGAGAAAAACAAAACCATTTCATGTTTGTATCCCTGCAGATTAAGACTTTGATACACTTGATTTTAACTATCCCTTGGGTCTAAAGCAGAACTGGAGAGGGGTAATGAGATTTGGACCCACATCTTAGAGACAGCAGTTGCCCTAGCTCAGTCACAACAGAAGAGGGGGATGCAGGTGGGCCAGGGGATGGGGAAGGGTCAATAACTCATGCCATCACCATTGGCTGGCTTTTTTCATGTTCTCTTGCTGGTTCCTCACTCTTTCCTATCTTATAAATGTGGGGGAACCTCAGGGCTTGACCCTTCTCTCTTTTGTACACTGAAGGGAGAACTTCTCCATCCCCTTGATTTTTTAACAGATTTTTTTGAAATATTATTCACATTCCACATACCACACCCATTTGTAGCACCAAATTCAATGACTTTTAGTCTATTCACAGAGTCATACAGCCACCACCACAGTCAATTTTGGAATATACCCACCATTTCCAAAAGAAATCCCCACCCTTTAGCTATTAACCTCTACCTCTCCTTCCTTTCCCCCAGCCCTAAGCAACAACTAATCCTCTTTCTGTCTGTATAGAATTCTCAAATCCCCTAGATTTTAAATCATCTTCACAAAGGACCTCCTGGGTGGCTCAGTCAGTTAAGCATCTGACTTTGGCTCAGGTCCTGATCTCAGGGTCGTGGGATAGAGCCCCTCTTCCCTCTGGCTCCCTGCTCAGCAGGGAGTTTCCTTCTCCTTCTCCCTCTGCCTCTGCCCTCCCCTACTCACACTCACTATCTCTCAAACAAATGGATAAAAAAAATCTTAAAAAAAAACAAATAAAAATAAACTATCATCACAGGGATACTTCTCCTGTGTATATCCCCAGCTCTGAGCTCTCAGCTAACCTCCAGGATTCACTGCTGCTCCATTTGCCCACCTGGGGTTCTAGGAGGTGTCTTAAACTTAACATGACAAAAGATAGCTCTTGATTTTTATCCTCCAAACTAGCATCTCTCCAGAGTCATCCTACCCAATAAATGGTACTGACATGCACCTTGCTGATGGAATAAAAAACCTTGTCACTCTTGATTCCTCCCTTTCATTCACCTGTCTTACCTCCAAAGTTTACAGAGTGGGCAGGAAGTCTGAACATCACAGATTTGAACCACTTCTCTCCACCTCATGTCCTACTTTAAGACATTCATTCTCAGCCACAATACACACAGTGGCCTCTCGGCTCATCTCCTACCCTTCCACAATCCACCCTCCACACAGCAGCCATTATACTCTTTTTTTCTTTTTTCAGCCATTATACTCTTAAAGACAAGTCACAACACACTCCTGTAAACACTCCAATAGCTTCCTATTGTACTTAGAATAAAACCCAAATGTGGCATTATAGACTTTAGGGCTGCTGTTTGACTCTCCCAACCTCATCTCCTGCCACTGTGCCCCACACTCTATATGGGGCAGCAACACAGCCCTGCCTTATACAAGCCCAGCTCTTTCTCACCGCAGGGCCTTTGCACATGCAGTGCTCCCTGCCTAGAATACAAAGCACCCACATTTCAACAGGGCTAGAAAGCTCTTCTCACACAGGACTCTGCTTGATGTCATCTGCTCAGGGAGGTCCTCTCTAGTCTCCCATGCTTCACTAGCTCCCCCCCACCAACACTGAGTTACTTCCCAGTTTGTCACACTGCTTGATTTTCTTAAGAACATTTATTGTTATCTATAATTATTCTTCTGATGATGAGCAATCGCCTGTCATCTCTCATAGGGCAGGACTGTGTCTAGTCTCTGGCACAGATTCAGGACTCGGTGAATGTATATTGAACAGCTGATGGAATAAGAACAAAGCACAGAGAGCCCTAAGTGTGAATCTTGTCTCTGCCACTTGCTACCTCTGTGACTGTGGACAAGGTCAGATCCACAGAGGGTTTTTTAGATCTCATTTTCTTCATTGGTAAAGTGGGGGACAACAATGCCCGTGAAGATGTCAGTAAAGGAACCGTGAAAACCCTGTAGCACAACACGCCCATTGATGGATTGTTCTTCTCACTACATCTGCTGTGAGTGGAGTACGGGGCAGGGAGGACACCCCTACCCTCCCAGTGCCCTGGCAGGCCTGCTCACCTGGAGACACTTCCAGCAGGAAACCCGTCAGGGGGTACAGGGTTCCTGAGCTGTTGCGCATGCACCAGTACCTGCCGGAGTCCTGGCGCCTGAGGGCCGCCATGGTGATCTTGACCACCTTGGCCTTGGGATCGTCCTGCAGCTGGTAGCGCGTCCCCTGTACCCAGCCCCGGGCGAATCCAGGCTCACACCGCTTCCTCCTGATTTTGCACCATACCTTGCCCTCCATGTGGTTTTTGCGGCTCTTGTAGGAGCACTGCACAGACAGAGTCTCCCCTTCAAAGTGCTGGACTTTAGTGTACACGTTCTCAGCAGGGACACCTGGGGAGACACTGCTGGTGAGCAAGGTCTGGAGAGAGAGGAGGAAGGAGGCATCTCAAAGGTTGGGATGAGGGGAGAGGAGGTGGATACAGCCCTGCTGTCATGGAACCAGAGTTCCAGGGAGAAACACAGCCCTGCTCCAAAAGAACTCCCCCGTCCGAGAGAGGAGATGCACAGGCCCTGCTTCAAGCTAGCTCCCAGTCTGAGGGGGAAGACACAGGCCGCTCCCTCAAGGAGATTCCAGTCTTTTGGAGTAGAGAGTAGCCCTACCTTCTGGAAGTTCCCAAACTAGGAGGAAGACAATAGTCCATGCCCTTGGTGAGTTCTAGGATGAAGGTATAAGACTAGCCCTCAGGAAACTCCCAGTCTGATGGTCGAGACACAGGAACAGCCTTCAGGGAACCCCCAGGCTAATGGAGGAAACTCAGCCCTTACACTCAGGGAGCTCCAACTGACACAGCCCCTTTTTACATGGTATTTTCTAGCCCGATGGAAAGGTAATAGCCCCATCTTCAGGGTCTTGTGGGAAAGACCTAGGTCTTGTCCTCAGTGAGAGATATACAGAAGTCCCAAAGTTACAAAATTCCAGAGCACAAACAACTTAGATAAAAAAGAAAATCCAATAGTTGAAAAATTAAGAGTAGTTATTTATTTCACAAATAACTTCATCATAGTTATCTTTTAAATAGCGAGGTGCTATAGGTCATTTTCAGTGCGGTTTCATTTTAAAACATTCTAGTTGCATAAAATCCAGAGATTAAAAATGCTCAAACATGCAAATAAATTCCCAATGGAGTACAAACCAAAGAACTATACATTTATTCACAGTTCATCCATAGCCTGTTACAGTCTCTGCCTAGAAATAAGATGTGGTCCGTGCATTTCACAATCCACGGCTGGCGGGGAGAGAGTAGAAATAGGGCTGAAGGTGGGGAATCAGGGGACAGGGAGACGGACAAAGCTGTGATGGTCTCCCTCCACTCCACTGCCCACCGTACGCCCAGCATTTACCCCTCTCACATCCCCCAGAGCCTGCTGTCGACACACACACGCACACACGCACACATACACACATTTCTCCCCAGCAGGACAGAGTGGAGAGCACACATTTTGGAGTCTAAATAAATATGGGTTTAAACCCCGGTTCCACCACTGACTAACTGTGTGAGTAGAACCCAAAAGTCTGCTTCTTTATCTGTCTCAGGTTGACTGTGGGAACTGGGCCCCAGGACTGTGCCTGGAAGGGAGGTGGTGCTCCACGTGCTTCCCTTTCTCAAATCCAGGTTGCTTCAGACTTCTCCAGTGGAGCCCAGAGCTGTGACAGCCAAGGACCCCACAAATGACAGGAGACGTCTACCTGCTTTCACCTCAGCTGCACTACAGCTGAGACTTGTGCTAAGGTAACACCCTGTCTGGACATTCCTTTGTCCTGTACAAACCAACAGAATGATCCAAGTAAGTTAACTGGCAGGTGGGAGGTTTGGAGGACCCTAGGATTACTTCACACTTCTGCCCTGGCAAGGAGAGGGGGCTTTCTAGGAGAAGTGCGGGGTCGGGAACTCTTGTAAAGGGTCTGTGTTCATTTGTGCCCACCTTCCACCCCTCTCACAGGTGGTGGCCAGAACTGAACAGGAGAGGGTAACTTGGTGACCATGGCAATAAGAAAGGCAGGACTGCAGAAGGCCCCCTCAAGGGGCACTTAGTAGCTATGGGGTGAGCGAGGCCTTCAAGGAGGGCTTCCCCTCAGGATAGAGGGATGAGGAAGAGGGTATTGGCATAAAGCACTTAGCCAGTTAAAACACACACACGTGATGCAATGATTCTTGTAAGAACCAAACAGGGCTTTCTAGAGAAGGGAAGGAGACTTTTTGGGTGAGGAAACAGTGTCCATGATCAGAGGTCCTGACCAAGCTTGGCAGATGAAGGGGCCCAACCAGCGAGGGTCCAGAGCTTTATCTTAGTTTGTGAGTCCTGTGTTAACTTTGCCTGGGGCCAGATAGTGGGACGTGACCTTCTTACTGGTTAGGAGCCACTAGGTCAGCCCCATCTCCCTTCTCCTCCAACCCCACAAAGCATCAAACAAGATTATTGGGCAAGGAAAAGCAGGGAGGGAGAGTCCAGAAAAAGGCCATTCCCTCCCTCCTATGCCAGCTCCTCTCACCTGAGACAGGGCGCTGGAACCACAGCAGCCCCAGCAGCAACAGCAGGAAGGTGGGAGCCATGGCTCCATCCAGTTGGGGACAGTCACAGGCCAGCAGGGGGCCGGGACACCTCGAATCCAGTGTTAAGGGCCCAGGCCAATGCAGGATGTGCCACTTAGGTCTGCCAGGGAAGGACCTGGCCTTCTCAAAGTGCAGTTGCCCATTTAGGGAAGTGAGGAAGCTGTGGGACCCACAGAGATCGGCAGACCGCAGGGCCCGCAGAGCATACCGAGGGCGGCGCTGGCTGTTGTTCACGCCCCCTTCCCCGAAGCTACAGGCAGGTGTGGCTGCTCCACCCAGTCTGGGGCCCCTGCAGCGCAGGAAGGGCTCTCAGGGTTTAAAGAGTTCCAGTCCTTTCCTGGAAACTGCCCGGTGGGTGTGCCTCCTAGCTTGAAGCAGGGGATTGGTGTAGGGGACTGGGGTGAGTTTTCTGGACCCTCAACTACAGGCTCCCTGGGATTCCCTGGGCTCAGAGACCCAGGGGTAGGGGCTAGGGCTGGAGCAGGGCACCTCGGATCCTAGGTTTTCAGCATCACACATTCGCAAGGAGTTTGCTTGTCAACTCCATTCATTCATTTCACTCAGCCCTCAATGATGCGCTCCTTCTGGTGCCCTCTTTTGCCAAGTTCCGGGCTGGTCAGAACAGTCCCCCTCGCTCACACTAGCAGAGAACACCTTCCTAGCTCAAAGGCGATCTTATTTCTGCTACAGTTAGAGTGACGGGAAAAAAGATGCAAATTGTTAAGGCTCAGGGCATAGTTTGAGCTCGCGCTGTGACACGTGGGACACACACACACACACACACACACACACACACACACACACACACACACACAGAGGCTGTCTTTCCTTTTGACGATTCACTTGTCTCCTTATCTTTACCCCTCTCTCGCATTCTCCTACCAACCGGTCTAATCACCCACCAGCTCCGCCCCTCCCCCGCCTCCCTCTTGCAGGCTCCCCTCCCCCGCTTCTCCAAAAGCCACGCCCCCAGCGCCCCCACCCCGGCCCCCCGGCCTGGCCCCCTGCCGCAGGCGCATGCCCACTCAACTTCCTCTCACTCAACCCTATCTCGCCCAGACAGCCGCCCGGCTGCAGCCGAAATAACCCAGCATTTGGCCCAAGACCCCACCCTTCACTCAGTCGCGAGCTCTAAGAATCAGAAAAATAGAATTCTGACGTCCAAGAGCTGTGTCATCTGCTCACTGGGGGCCAGGGGGCCTACACGATTATGGGTTTCCCCCTACGCGCCTTTTTTTTTCCTTAGACCGGAACTTTCTTTTCCTTAGACAGGACTCACAAGTAAAAAGTCTTCAACTGAGCTTGAGCTCGCAAACACCAAACCAAGGAAGCTTGATCTCTGCTGACTCCAAACTTTCAGTCTCTTAACTTATTCTATTCATTCGTTCGTTCGTCTCTACAGTCTTACGCACCACGTGAGGTGCAAGCATATGGGGTAGAGGACTATCACTTCAGACCCCTCAGCTCCCAGAAGACCTGTTTCACCTTCTTCATTCACCCTTCCTGTTTAATAGGTCTTCCCAGTGCTCAGATGACTGCGTTCAAAGGCTCTTTGCCCTCCCCATGCATGGTGTCTTCCTTCCTTTCTTCCATCCCAGCCCTAAGTGGCTTCAAGAATGGGAGCGGGGAGTGGGGGTTCCACTTACCTCTTGTAGGAACTTATTTCCTGGAATCACAGTGATAGCTGTGACGATAAAACCCAGCACTCTCATTCCACGGAGAGAGGAAGTATAAATTGGATTCATTGTTTCTTGAGAGAAATTTGGAAGGATTTATCAAGATCTCTAAAAATGTGTATCCATCAGGCTTTTATGAACAAGATGATTTAACATAGCACTAGATTATTTTTCTTTGCATTTATTTTCCCATCAAAAACTAGGATCTAATTTATATAGAGTAAAATTCCCCTTTCCACAAAGAAAACTCCAGATTCAATTTTCTTCAACTTCGTCAGTGAGCTGTACCAAATACATAAAATGAAATAACACCGATGTTACAGAAACCATTGAAGATAGAAGAGGAGATATATCCCAACTTGATTTGTAAGGTCAGAATATCCTTGACACTAAAACCTGACAAGGACATTACAGGAAAAGAAAAGTACAGAAGTGCATGCTTTATGCACATAGATAGAAACATTTCTAACAAACCAAAAGCAAATCAAAACCGTCAATGTATATAATAACATAAAACAGTATGACCAAATAGAGTTTATCTCAGGAATGCTACCTATGTTCAACATTTGAAAATCAGTCAACCTAATTCACCCAATCACCAGAATAAAGGACAATTATGGGATTATCTCAAACAGATGCAGAAAAAAGAATTTGCACTACTCCCACCACCACCACGACCAATTCATAATTAAAAACTCTCAACAAAACAAACAAACAAACAAACAAAAACTGTAGAAGAGAATGTCCTGGCTTTAATAAGGGACATTTACCAAAAACCTGTCTCTAACATTGTATTTATGGCAAATATGTTGTATGTTGGCTGCATTTCCCTTAAGATAGTTCATGGTAGACGTAGATTCTGAGAGCTCAATGCCCTGGCCTTGCTAGATGGTCAGTGTTCTGAATATGATTCTGGGCTTTTCTTGTTTTATGGATGTAATATCTTCTGTTCCCTGAAACATTTATCTTTCACTCACAGGCAATTATCCTGTTTGTTCCGTGTGATTTTTCTCTTAGGCTATGAATCTCCTCATGTATAGAGCAAACAGAATAATGGATCCTGACTGTCACATCTTATTTGCAGACAAAGCATTTTGGAATAATTGTCTTCTGCTCACATTTTGGGCTGCCAAGGCATCTGCTTTATTTGCAGACAAAGCATTTTGGAATAATTGTCTTCTGCTCACATTTTGGGCTGCCAAGGCATCTGCTTTTGCCATGTTAATTGCATCTGATTTTTTTTTTTTAACTTCTAGGAATTCCTCAGTTTCTGGTCTGCTGATTATGACTTTTCTTATTTGCAATTTAACAATTTATTTTGGAGTAATTTAGCTTTTAACATATTCAAGCTAGGAGGAGAGGAAAGCTAGTGAGATTCGTGTGCCATCTTGCTTAGTTCCCCCTACACATTTCAGTTCAAGGGCTTGCATTTGAGCCCAAGGAAAAAATGCAGAGGACTTTCAGGTAGTGCAGAGGTGGGAAACAGAGAACAGGTGAGGAAGTGAAGTAGGTGCCCAGCTGAAGGGGGGGTGAGAGAGGGCAGGAGTGCAGCGAAAGAAGAAGCAGGCTGAGGTGAGGGAAGGTGTTACCTAGGGGCTGGTCCAGGAAGCCGAGTTGTTGATCAGATGCATAGAAACCTTCCATGGGTGATCAGCCTGGAGGAGTTAGGGGCTGGGGAGGTGGGTCTCAGAGTGCTCAGTACTGGGATGAAGGCTCAATCAGATGAATGGGAGATGGAGGATTTCTCAAGAAGGCTTTCTTCACAGGACTGTGGCATGAGTAGTTAGGGGGGATCTCCCAATAGTTGGGCAGGGGCAGAAGATAGGGCATCTTGGATCTGCAGAGGATGCACCCAAGAGTCCCAGGGCCCAGGCTGGTCTGACACAATCAGAAACTTCCATCACTGCTGTCCCTACAATATCCTTATCACCCTGAGGAGGGAGGATAAGGAGGAAATTCTAAATTGAGGTGAATCTTTTCCTCACCTTCTTTCCCTGCCCCTTCTTCCTACCTATCCCTGTTACTGATCTCTCCCTCTGTCCCCCTCCTTTCCTTTTGCCTACTTCCAGGCATCCCTTCTTTTCCCCTAAAAAGTTGGCTCTGGATAGAGATAGGGATCAGAGTTCTGTGGGGTAGGAGGGTTAGAGCCAGGGGAGTAGAAACAATCCTCCCAAGTCAGAAAGGACAGGGACATCAGGCTGAACCATCAGCAGGAGGCTACTGAGGCCAGAAAAGAAGAGCAGATTTGCTGAGGTGATGGGAGCATGGGGGAAATAGTAGAGAGAAGGCTCCAGAATCAGAGCTAGACAGACCAGGTATGGGGGCCACACAGAGGGCCACAGGGAGGGGTCTCAGGAGCCATCAGTAGAAATCCTGGGTTTTTGCCCTGTCTGTGCTCCTAAGGGCTGGGTGACAGGTTTTGGCCGACCACATGGATCTCTGAGCCTCATTTCCTCAACTGTGACATCTTGGATAGCCCTTGAGATGCTTTAGGCTCTGAATTCCAGAAGGTTTCTCAGGGAAGGAGGAATAATATGCCTGTATATTCTCTCACAGTGTTCCTATTCCCACCGAGCACTTTACTGTGTCTTCATTTCGCTGGTTGAAAAGATGTAAAGTGGCATTTCATGGTTGTTTTAATGGACATTTCCTAGATTACTCACAAGTGTGAATACTGTTTGCCTGAATAGTAAGTTTACCAAGTTTTTAAAAAATTTAACTAGAATGTGAGGGTGATCTGGCTGCAACATCTGTCACCCAGCTGATCACCAGGATTTATTGGGCTGATCTGACTGACTAGACAATTGTCCTCTTCCTCCCTCACCACTAGCCCCCTTCCCCTCCACCCATCTTCCCCTACCCACCTCCCCTTCCTCATCCTTCAGTTTGTTTCCCAGAGTCAAGTGTCTGTCATGGTTCATCTCCCTCTCTGATTTTTTCCCACTCAGTTTTCCTCCCTTCCCCTATGATCCTCTGTGCTATTTATGTTCCACATATGAGTGAAACCATATGATAATTGTCTTTGTAAAGAATATACGTTCTATTTACTTAACTGAAGAGCCATATTTATATTGATTTACTCCTGTTGCTCCTTTAAACTTATCAGTATCTACATATTTTGTCTCATGAGACAAGTACTTGCCATCCTTTCATGGTCTTCTGGTCTCTTCTCCTCACTCTGTGTTAATGTTGTCTGGAATATTACGTTTCAGTTGTCATAGATATATTTTCTCTTTCTCTTCATTTTGGCTCTAGTTGCTTTTTGTTTGTTTGTTTAAGAAAAAATATATACTCTCCAAGGTGCTTGATCACACTATTTCCTCATCTCTTGCAGCATCTTCTGGATTTGTTTTGAGTATTTCCACCAGGTATATGTTCAGTGGGGATCTTTGCATGTGGAAAACTTTCTGAGGCTTTCAAAGTCCCAAAGTATTATGATCATATATTTGAATGACAGTTTGGCTGGATATAAAATTCTAGGTACAAAGTTCTTTTTTTCAATCCTTTAATAATATTACTCAACTGTCTTCTGGCATCCAGTGCTCCTCTTAAGAATTCTAGTGTAGACCTGGGGCACCTGGGTGGCTCAGAGGGTTAAGCCTCTGCCTTCAGCTCAGATCATTATCCCAGGGTCCTGGGATAAAGCCCCGCATCGGGCTGTCTGCTCAGTGTGGAGCCTGCTTCCCCCTACCCCCCGTCTGCCTCTCTGCCTACTTGTAATCTCTGTCTGTCAAATAAATAAATAAAATCTTTAAAAAAAAAGAATTCTAGTGTAGACCTAATTCTTGTTCTTCTATAGGTGATCTGAAAGTCTTTAGAATTTACTCTCTGTCT